TTTTTTTTTTTTTTTTTTTTTTTTTTTGGTACCAGGTATCAAACTCTGGACCTTACACTTGTGGGGCATGCATGGCAGCACTGAGCTAAATCCCTGGCCCGTGGTATTCTTGTAAAATTATTCTTGTAAAATTATCAGAAGGCAGCTACAGATAGTAGGGAGTAAAGTCCCAAATCAGTTCCTGCAGATGATGTTTATTCCATTTATTCATCTGTTTATTCATATTTTCTTTTGAGATGAATTCTTGCTAAGTTGTCCAAGGCTGGCTTCACCCTCAAGCTTCCTGAATACTGGAATTTAAAGATGTATGCCACCATGCCTGGATTATCTTGTGTGGTTTTTTGGGTTTTTTTTGTATTTTTTGGTACTGGGGATTGAACTCAGGACCTTGTTCTTGCAAGGCAGGTGGTGGAACCACTAAGCTAAATCCCCAGCCCTATCAATTTTTTATTGAACCCATTATTGTATAGGTTGAGATGTTTCTGACCACCTCTACCAAAATATTTACCTAAGTAAAAACTATCTACAAGTACCTTTTTTTTTTTTTTTTTTGCTGTGGTACTGGAGAGTAAGCCCAGGAATACTTTACTACTGGCTACATCCCCAGCAGTTTTTATTTTGAGACTATGTCTTCTAAGTTGTTTAGGCTAGTCCCAAACATTAGTTCCTTCTGCCTGTACCTCCTCAGTAACTAGGATTATAGGCATGCACCACCACACCTGCATATTAAGTTCTTTAAGATAATTCCCTTGGTCTCTGCCACCATAACCATCATTACCCACAAGACTGCTATGTGAATTGTGAGGAAAGTATGAATGTAAAGGGAAGTTTGGCAGTATTTATCAAAAATTAGAAAATGTGCATACACTTTGACCGAGCAGTGCTCTTTTTTTCCCCAACCCAATGAATAAAATATAGTCTCCTGAATGTAATTCCCACTAACTTTTACCTAAGTTCCATTGTTGCAACCTATTTCAGCCTCATCTGTGTTAATATATGGACCCGCTAAAATAGATTTCCCCCTTTGCCTCCATATTGCAGCCAGTATACTCTTTATGCAGTTCAGATCTTATAACCTCACTTTCCTGCCTAAAATCCTTTGTGTTAGTCCTGTCTTTCACCACTTTACCTTTCTCTCTATCCTCTCTCTCCATATGTCTTACCATTCCCCATCCATACCAGACAGGCTGCTTCTTATTTCTAGGTGGTATCACATTCTTACATGTAATCTGTGTGATTGTTGTTGCTATAATTCTGTTTCCTAAACTATAAGGTCTATAAGAGGACAGCCTGTGTCTATTTGTAATTTATTTTCTTCTAAATCCATATTGAACTACTGGATAATGATCATTGTTGGCTTAGCTGCATTTCCTTAACATTTTTCAGCTATATTATATTGACAAGTACAAGGTTAGTTCTGATTTAGGGTATATTTGAAAACAAAATGAATTTGAATATCCAACGTAAGTATGGTAAGTATGACTTGTACATCTTTATAAATGTTTTTTGTCTCTGAGTGACAGAAACCTCAACCTGTCTAGACCTAAACACAATAGGAAACTTCAAGTTTTTTAAAGCCAGTGGTTCAAATTTTACCTCAGAGTCTTAGTTCTGTCTCTTCTCTCTGCCTTTTTTTACCTTGGCCTGATCAGAATGCCTCATCCTGTAGTAATTCATAAGATGACTGCTATAGCAGTTGAGGCAACATAGCTTTACTGGTACTGGGGATTGAACTCAGGTTCTTATGCCTGTGAAGCAGACAGTGGAACCACTGAGCTAAATCCCCCAGCCCTGTCTCTTCCCTGTTTATCCATGAGTCAGTTACTGGTACCAGTTACCATAATTTTCTTAGATCATCTTTGAGTAGAATAGATAGTGTGAAGTTATCTGGTATCTACCAATTTTTCTATCACATATCTCAGTAATCACTTCTGACAAAAAGTTTCCAGTTTTCTTTTTAAAATTTTATTCCAATCCACTAGATGAGATTATCACCAAAAAACATAAAACCCTGCGAAATCTTTATATAGTTTAACCATAGAATCTTTTTTCCTTTCAGATCCAGACATTTAATGTTGATACACCATGCCAGACTGTGGAAGATTTAACGAATGGGGTTGTGATGGCCCAGATTCTTCAAAAGATGTGAGAAAAAATTGTTTATCTTTATATATGCTCTTAGATACATAGACCTTTATTAGATTGGAAATAACAGATTTTAAAAGTATGGTGTTTAGCTTTCCACCACTGCGATAAAATACTACCTGAGATCATACTTACGAGGAGGAAGGGTTTTTTTTGGCTTCCAGTCTTGGAGGTTTTAAGACACAGTTGTGCCATTGCTTTTGGGCCTGTGATGAGACAGCACATCATGGTGGGAACATGTGATAAAGGGAACTACTCTCTTTGTGGCAGAAGAAGGCTAAAGAGGAAGGGGCTGGGGCTGCAGTATTGGCACATCCCCAATAAAGTGACTTCCTTCCACTAGGCCCTGATTCATAAAAGCTCTCCAGCTTTCACAGTACCATGGCATTTTTTGTTTGTTTATTTGTCTTGGAGTTTTTTTGTGTGTATTTTTGGGGTACCAGGGATCAAACTCAGGACCTTGTGTTTGCAAGGCAGGCAGTGGAACCACTGAGCTAAACCCCCAGCCCTCAGAGTGCCATAGTCTGGGGGCCGAGCCTTTAACACATGGGCTGTCAGGGAACATTTTAGTTACAAAATATAGCAAACTATTTATTTGAAACTTGTGTTGCATGTAGAATGAGAATTGTAAACACTGTCGACAATTTGATAACATATACTTGTCAGGTATAGATTAATTGTTTGCAGGTTTGATTGGGCCTAAATTGTTATAATACTCCAATTTAAGGCAGCAACCAGATTTTGCCATTGTAGAAGAACCTTACTCCCTCTTTAGAATTTTGCTCCTATGTTTTAATGCTGAGGCCTTTCCTGACTACTCATATAAAACAGCAACAACCATTCCTCTATAGTATTTTCTAACTCCCTTAACCTTTTGTGTTATGTGTAATTATGTGAATATGGGGTCCAGGAGGTTGGTACCTTTGAGTGAGCAAAGACCAAGACTTTCAATACTAACCATCATTTATTTGGTATACACAATAATTGGAGGGGGAGAATCAGGTGATTTAGGGGCAGCAGTGATCCTGTATCAATGCAAATCTCATGCTGAAGAGGGCATAAAGGAAAGCATTCACAGGGCAGTAGTGATGTGAGTTAAGCTGATGAGGAATTTGTCCCTCCCCAGGTGAAACTTTTCTCTTTTTGTATTACTACTTGGTTCTCAAAGAACCAGGATGTCTTCAGCTTATGTCTTCTTGCCCTTGAGCGCCATGGCTCAAAGACCATTGAGACCTCAACTTGAGACTGGAGGCAAAATGGAATTATGTTTTCTTGTGGCATAGCCAGCTCTCAGGCAAGGGAATGTTGGACTTTAGACAGCTAGAGTCATACTTTTAATTATGAAATTATTTTTCCTCAAAATTTATATAGAATTGCTCTCAACTCTCAAAGTATATGTACTGTAGTGATTACTTACTTATGTCTCCCCACCCAAGTTGGAAACAAGAATGTTAGTGTGTAAATTCTACAGCCAGGAGCTTAGTTTTTCACTATTATGTCCTAGCAACTAGGAAATTGTCTTGTTTTGTTTTGTTTTAAAATTGAGCCATATGAAATTACCATTTTCTGTAGGTAAAAACAATCAGATATTAGCAACATCTCCTAGTTCAATATTCATGGCTGCTTATGACTGTAAATGACTGAAGGAATTAAATATTTGTTTGGGATACATAAAACTATCTGATTCTTAAAAGATATTATTATGGCTATCAACTTTTGACCTAGAAATTTGTATGAATTGGGTTTTGCATGATTGGTGATATTTTTATATTTTGAAGCCCTGAGCACTTGTCAGCTTGATATTAAAACTTTATGTATTGACTACGTGGCATTTCCTACAGTTTTATTGAGAAACAGTCATTAAATGAATTCTTGGTGTTAGTAAGCCATGTGAGTTATGCATCTGAGAAGCAGAGAGATCTACATTCAGAGAACCTGTCTTTGATTTTTTTTTTTTTTTTTGCAGTACCATGAGTTGAACCTAGAGTTTTTGTATTGAGCCTGCATCTCTAGCCCCCTTTAAAAACAAAACAAAACAAAAAACAACCTCAAGAGAGGGACTAAGTTGCTGAGTTGCCCATACTGAGTTTGAACTTGGAATCCTCCTGCCTCATTCTCCCTGAGTGCTGGGATTACAGGTGTGTGTTACCAGGGAGTCTATCTTTATGCCTTTAGTATTGGAAATTGGAAATTCATATTGGAAAACTAATATAACTTGTGTTCAGTTCTGTACTTAATATAGATGACATGTCTCTGTCCATATGTATTGGCACATAGGATTTTTGATGGATCTTTTCAAATCTGGCCAGCGCTAGTTCTAACACTCCTGAGATGAATGATCTCATTTTTATGGCCACTTTTGAGGGGTGCCATAATGTTTTTTGGCTTTCCAATGATGGCAAGTTTCACTGAATTTCTTCTTCTTCTTCTCCTCCTTCTTTTTTTTTTTTTTTTTTTTGGTACTGGGGATCGATCACAGGACCCCCGGCATCTTCACTGAATTTCTTAATAAGATTTATTTGTGGATATCTGGACCCAAGTAGGCTTTCCAGGTATATGTCAGTAAATAAATTATTGCCAGACTAGTTTGGCTAGGATATCAGTTATGCAGAAACCAGAAGAGAGTGTGTGTATGTATATATTTTTGTGGGGTTTTTCTTGGGGGTGAGTTGTTTTTGAGACAGAGCCTCACTGTGTGGCCCAGGCTGGCCTTAAATGTTTGATCCTCTTACCTCAGTCTCCTGGGTGCCAAGATTACAGGCATGCAGTGCTGCATCTGAATGTATGTTTTACCCAAACAAGCTCTAAGGATCCAGACAAGGATGCTCAGTCTCATCACATCTGTTCAACATAGTACTGGAAGTTCTGGCCTGAGGAATTAGTCAAGAAAAAGAAATAAAACACTTCTAAACAGTAAAGAAGTAAAATTGTCACTGCTGATGACATGTTTAAATAAAAAACTATAGATTACATAAATTATTAGAACTAGTGGATTCAATAATGTTGCAAGAAGCCGGGCATGGTGGCTCATGCCTGTGATCCCAGAACTTGGGAGGCTGAGGCAGGAGGATTGCTGTGAGTTCGAGACCAGCCTGGGCTACATAGTGAATTCTAGATCAGTCTCAACTACATAGTGAGACCCTGTGTCAAAAAACAAAACAAAACAAACAAACAAAAAAATCTTCCAAGATACACAACACACAAAAATACTGTTTTTGTACACTAACATGAGCTATCTGAAAAAGAAATCAAGGAAACAGTCCCATTTATAATAGCTAAAGAGGGGGGACCAAAACCCCACTTAAATTTAGGTAAGGTGGTGAAAGATCTGTACACTGAAAACTAAAACATTCGAAAAGTTAAAGAAGACATGTAAATGGAAAAATACTCTGTTTATGGGTTAGAAGAACTGATGTTAAAAATATCCATTGTTCCAAAGCAAGTTATAGATTTCAAATGTGATCCCTCTAAAAATTCCAGTACCTTTTTTTCTTTTGAAACAGGGTCGTCTTATATAGTTCAAGCTTACCTTGAACTCATGACCATCCTTCTGCCTCACAATCTGAGGTGCTGAAATTGCAGGCATGTGCCAGCACACCTGGCTCCAATGTCCTTTTTCTTTCCTTTTTTTTTTTTCGTTTGTTTTTTGAGACAGGGTCTCACGATGTAGTTGAGACTGACCTGGAACTCACCATGTAGCCCAGGCTGGTCTCGAACTCAGTCATTCTCCTGCCTCAGCCTCCCGAGTACTGGGATTACAGGCATGCACCACCACGCCCGGCTCCAATGTCATTTTTCACATAAATAGAAAAAATATCCTAAAATTTATATGGAACCACAATCTTGACCAAGAAAAGCAAAGCAGGAGGCATAGTACTGGATTTTTAAGCTAGGACAATTAAAACAATACAGTATTGGCATAAAAATAGGAACGTTGACTAGTGGAAAAGAACAGAGATCCCAGATATGCCCCCACACATTTGCCATTGGCTGACTTCCACAAACATGCCAAGAACACGCAATGAAGAAAGGACAGCCTCTTTGATAAAAGGCGTTAAGAACACTGAATGTCAAAATGCAGAAGAATGAAATTGCTAAGACATTAGTTTGGGCAATGATTTTTTTTTCCCCCCTTGGATATAAAGGAAATGACAGAACAAATAGTTTACAGGTTGGGAGAAGATATTTGAAGCATATTTCTATTAAAGGGTGAATATGCAAAATACTATAAGGAACTCAGTGTAATATTAAATAACTCAATTAAAAATTGGGCAAAGGACTTTAGTAGACATCTCTCAAAAGAAGACGTATAAATGGTCAATGAGTTTATTTTTTAAAATGCTTAACATCACTAATCGTTAGATAAGTGCAATTTTTTTTCCCCAGAGGCAGATCATACAGCTTTCTTAATGAGGTTGGGGTGGGGGGGTCCAATCTGGGATTTCTCCACAAAGAGACTGACCAAGCAAGTCAGCCATAGCAGAGTTGTTACACAGTTAGGGAAAGGGCAGGTTTACAAGTATCAGTCCTTCATTTATATATGGGCTCAACAACCTTATTGGTTACAGAATTTCACATATGGTGTGTTCGTTGGTTAACACAGTGCATTGAGTTTTAGCTTGTTTGTATATGGTGGGAAGACACACAAAAAATTCCTGAGATATTTGAGGGATCCAGGCCCAGGCAGGACTGGGCATGTTAAAAGTAATGGAGGGGGGCCTCCCAGGAATTTTCATGATGAGGCTTTTTGATTTGAGAGTGATGAATCCATGGCTGGACATCTGTAACTTATAGCTCCCTCCAGTAATCTCGGTGGAACCAGTGAATGTGTCTTAGTTGTTTTCCATGTTGACACCTTGCTGTGTTGGCTCCTGGAAGGCTGGTGCCTTGGGGGGATGAGTCCTGTGTAACTGCCTGCATGATGTCTAATTAAGTTACCTATCTGTAATATTTCCCACTCTAAAGAATTACCTCTAACTGCTGCGAGAGGGCAAAGGGTG